TTAGCGCCAATATTGTCCTAGAATTTCATATGCTGAATTCACCAAAATATTTCAGAAACCACCTCTGGATGAAATTTGCGCACATTGTCCAGAACGAGTATGCGAAATGTTGAAGATATGTTTGTTTTTTCCATAGCAGAGTGTTTTTAATTATATTGACTTATTTCTGTTAATATTTAAAGTATTTAATGTCATATTTYGCGTTATTATGCTTAATTTTAAATTTTGTAGACGAAATACTGTGGACCGCCCTGCAGATAAACGTTCTCTGTGCCCTGCATTCCGTAATTTGCCCAGCGAAGTCTTGAACCAGCGTGAGATTTGTCCAGCGGCGCTCAAATTTTGCTCAGGTACAGAGCCAAACTCTTTACCATAAAAGTTTAGTTAAAGTTGTGAAATTTAAAGCACAAATCGCAAGCTTTTCGCTACTCACCACACACACATACAACGGCCTGCGCTCTTTGAGCAAAGCTTACAAACAACGAGAACACCGGCAATGTGCTAATTGTCCTTCAGTGCAGCTCAGCGAATAGCCAACAATAAAGGACGATTCAACACAAAGCTGTTAGTATGTGCGTGAGCGTTTCAATGTGTGTGTGTGTGTGTGTACGGCTATTGGCTTTGTTTCAGCCGGTAACTCTACAGAGGTGTTGTATGACGTTGGCGCTGTCAGTGTGTTGTCAACCATTCGAGTAGAAAGTTTGTGGCGGTTTCGCTTGCGGCAACTCACAGCTATTTACAACAAAAGTATGGCATTGTACTTGCCTAGCATTTGAAGTATTGGGAAAGGACTTACTGTGTGCGGAGGCAAAGCCAAAGTGAATTTTGGGAAAATCAATTGCAGTGCAAAGTTAAAATATTAGCGAATTAGAAAAAAGATTTTTAAAAAGCATTTTGATCGTAACATAGTAGAATAACTGTGCTTAAGTGATTGACGCCCTCGTCAGTGCTGTTTATACCGCGTGCCTGCCACACCAATTAATGCATTACGGGCAGCTGCGTGGCTTTGGTATCTCAGCTCGACGCGCTTGCCACACGCATCCTCAGCACCCGTGCTACCCCTAGTGTATTGAGGATATTGAAAGTGAACTTTCAGCGCTTGCGAAAATATTAAAGAATAGAGTTTTGTTGTAGTTGTTTGTTGTTTTCTGTGTTCTTGCAGACACATCTATGCGTTAGCGCTGTCGGCCATATTTTACCATAACCACATTCATAGTGATATCTCAAAGAGGTGGCCGCATATCCATTTGGGATAGATATAGTTAGAAGGGCATCAGAGTCCACAACGAAGGGAGCGTTACGGCACTTTTGTGTGCAAGTCACTTTTGTTAGTGTGTGTGTGTAGAAGAAAGGCTTCAAAATTAATTATTCAAAGTACCATCACAACGCTATGTCCTTGTCGGCCATAGCAAAGGTAAGTYCTATAGTAATTGCATATATCGAACACATACATACACACAATATTATGTGCGTGTGGCTTTAAATTTTCACTGGCCGTTATAGGAGAAGTAGAAGAGGAAGAGTGCGACCACGAGCACTGCAGAATGACTGTAACTTCGCTCAGTCTTTTGGCGCTGCATTTTAATTACCCATTTTGTTTTGTATGAGTTTTTTATTAAGTTTTTTTGCGTTTTTCTCTTAGAATTAGTCAATTTGCAAATTTCACTCATACCACGCTCTTAAGTTCTCTTCCCACCAAAGAGTGGGTTTCAGCAAAAAGTGTGGCCAGATGGTAGTTTTTCTGCAAAGTGTAATATAYTTTGGTAATTTTCGAATTTCGAAATTTGCGGATGTCTCTAGAGTTTAATAAATAAAGTGGTTTTAAATTTTATCTTAGAAGTGCGGCATAGATATAAAAATAAGCGAAGCTGTAATAGCCTTCACAGCTGCAACTATAAGTTTTACCTTAGTGTAACTTCTGGTTATTTAGCAAATTCCCTTTAATAATAAATAAAAGTTAAATCGAAGAAGGCTCTGATGGCYATCATGACGGAGGATTCTTCCAAGTGCTATGATGACTGAAAAACTCGTTGGCATAAGTGTATTGCAAAGGGAGGGGATTACTTTGAAGGAGATAAAATGAAAAAAAAATCACCTCTCAATTTAATCACAGTAGGGTCTCTGACRGTCTCCTATTCCTGGTATAAGGAAACTAATATCAAAGGTGAAATTGTTTCTTATGTAAAAGAATTTTACGCACGSCTAAGAAAAATGCCAGAAATTCTAATTCTGAAAAAGAAATTATGTTCAGAGTTCTTAAAGTTAATATGAAACATTTAGGAAAAATTACGTAAGGCCTTTAATATATGTATATGTTTAATAAATAGCTGTAATAAATTTCTATAATAAAAATTCTTTAAAAATATTTACCCATGTGGGAGCATTGCCTCATTCGTTTGCTTTCGCATTTAACATGCTTACATATTATATGCTTCCTCTGTATTTCTTCCTATTTGCGCATGTGCCGGTTCACTCAAACCTCTCGCAAAATTTGTATGACTGTTAATGTTTACTCAAACCAGAGTTATGTTGCGCTCACACCGCTATTTCGCGATAAAAGAAACTTTCACGAATGTGAGTATTGTAAAAGTTTGCGAATTTCCTATTCACAAAGCAACCCTTGTGGCCATTGCGGCCGAATATGATTGCCAGCTACAAAAAATGATTCTTTAAAGTTAATTAAAATTAAAGTAATTATCAAAAATGTAAAATGGAATAAAATCTTTATTTTAAGGTGTTTTATAGAAATTTAAAGAAGGGTAATAATAAATCAGTTAAGAATAACAACTAAGACTGTAAAAACTTTATATATATGTACATATATAAGAAATTTCAGCGAAAAGCTTATAACCCTGACAGGTAAGCAAAATTAATGCGCCTTAAGCAACGCTAATGCGCATTGAAGTTTTATGGTGACAGCCAGCAGACTTGTGCTTTTAGACTGATAGTGAAATTTGTTTATTTATTAAAAAAAAGTGAAATAAAAGCAAATAAGATGAATTTTTAATACGAATTTTGGTACTTTTGGAAAAGCTATATAAACTTCTCGAAAAAATTCGTTTATTATTAACTACGTTAAAAGATAATAGAGCAGCTATACAGCTATCAAAAAGCTTCCTTTATTTAATATGTTGAATCTCGAAAGTGATTTTGTGTCCTCAATTGTGATACTTTAGATATAGCTACTCCTTAATAACGTAGTTAGAAGATCATACTCGAATCTACATCAATTCAACTCTTTTCTTTTAGCGAAGAAGAGAATTTAATTTATCCAATTTCTTAAATTTAATTGACTCTTCTTCGTTAAACCAGCGCATGCAGTTAACTATGGCAACACTGCCTTACCGAAAGCTTAACTAGCAGGCCTCCAGGCGCTTCGGTATTTTACTTTATCTGCATGACGCTGTTACCGTTCTCCAAAAATGACATTCACCACACTCTCACGCCAACACATGAGCAACGAAATCCTACCAACGCCGTTCGTGATAGGCGCTCGTAGCTTGGCACGTGTACGTCACTCACACTCCAAGCAAATGCTGGCACCTCAAATCACTCTTACACCTTGATTGCACTCTCCCTCTCATTTCACTGAGTTCGCTTTTAGCGCTTTAGGAGTAAAATATTCAACCGGTATTTAAATACAAAACCAGCTGGAGCAACTAGGCAAGCAAACAAATCAGAGAACAAAGTGGCAGCGGTCGCATAACGCAAGGCCGCTAGCGAGTTTCACTCAAAGTTAATCTAAGCCTACTTATGGCCTACAATGTTTGAATGTAGCGCCTGCCAGCGAGAGGTGAATGTCCTGAAATGCCAACAACAGGCGCTGTTACATGGCGTAAAYAGCAAAGTGCTCCCGATTCATGTGAAGCATAATGTTCGTGATGCTCACGTTGAAAAAGGTCATTCACCCGACCTTGGGGTGCRACACAGTTGGGCAACTCGTGGCATCAATAGCTTCATCATTATGACGTAGTTATGTGTTTGGTAGGCCATTATTGTATATAGTATTTGCGACGTAATGGTCAGTAACAAGTGTGGGTGTGCGCGTCTACCAAATACAAATGTATACATATGTACGCACTCGTAGTAAAGAGTATGTAATTGTTAAGACGAGTTCATTGACCTCRTTTATATGTATTTCGGCGGTGAATATTTTTCGGTTGCTCCATATCTTGAGCTATAGTTTGCCGCGAAAACGGAAGCTTACGAATTTTAAAATTCTCATTTGCTCATCCTTTTTAATATACATATATAATTATATGTATCTGTATGTATGTATGAAGATACCATACTTAATCATAAATCTTTAAAAATAACTTAAAACTCTCCGGAAGTAAATGTCAAAATGTGTATAAACTAGGAAAGATTCTAGATTTAAGAGAATAGAGACGAGTAATAATATATTTTGGAAACGACAAATTATAGATTATAAAGGTAAATAAATTGTACTCTTGTTCTGGTTCTCTTACTAATTTAGATCCTACTACTACTAAAATCTGGAATATTAAGTTTGTCACGAAAGTTGGAGACCCTATCAAATATATAAAAATAGATATACTATATGTTATAAATGATCAGTATGATGACCAAAGGCGATTTAGCCATGTCTGCCGGWACTTCTGTATATTTTATATACTTCAACTAGTCCATCAGTTTTTGATGTAATTTTCTCTTTAAAAGCTACTTTATTTTCGGAATCGCCAATATATAGCATACAAGTATAGCTGCCATACAAACTGAATGATCATGGCCTTGTGTGTAAACTTTTTCATTTAACGAGATATCTTTGGAATGGAATATCGGCCAAGGCTAGTTGTTTGTATCACCTAAAAATGTCTGAGGTAATGAATATATAATTGATCAAGAGACGAGACGGGTTGAAATACGCATGTCTATCTATCCATTCGATCGACAGTCTGTGCAAGAAATAACTTCAGTAAAAATATGATATTTTAATGCAACTTGGTATACGTGTTCCATGGCAATCGAGGACGAGTTCGTAGACGGGCGTAACCAAAACGCCATTAAAGGAAAATTTATAAAGTGCAATAACTAAGCACTAAAATAGGATATAGAACTGTCGTTTGGCACAGGCGATCGCAGTATGTAAGCAAAAAAAGGGTAGGGCCCAGCCCTCTAAGAGATTAAGTGTACGCATCTCTTAAACCACTAAAGCTAGAATACCAAAAGTCGCTAAGGACAATTCCTATAAAAATCAGTAATGATATCCTATAAATAGGTGAAATCGGATGATATCCGCCTACACACCCCATATAACGGTGCTGTTAAAAATTACTAAAGGCGATAAATCAATAAATAAATACACCAGAGACATTAAATTTTAGACCTAGAAAGACACAGGAGGATTTTAGGGGATCCGAAGTCGAATTTGGACGATGGTCATGMCAACGCTCACATTTACGTAAAAAATTCCAACTACTAATACGTGGGCGACTTTTTGGCCAAAAACAACACACTRATGATGCCGCAGCCGCCGTATTCCCCACATCTGGCCCCCTGTGACTTTTTCTTGTTCCCTAAACTGAAGAGGCCCATGAAAGGACGACATTACGCTTCTCTTGACGAGATAAAGACGGCATCGAAGGAGGAGCTAAAGAAGATAAAAAAAATTATTTTTTGAAGTGCTTCGAAGATTGAAAAAACCGTTGGCACCATGGGGATTACTTTGAAGGGGACAAAATAGATATTCATGAAAAAATTAATAATTTTTGAAAAAACACAAAATTCGCGATACTTTTTGAAYACACCTCGYATATGTATTATAAAAATACAGAGARAATCCGTTTCTAATWACAATATGTTTCTACGYCAAAAATGGCTTGAGTCGGGTAAATCATTTCTTTAGCCCCCATATWCCTAATAGAAAGCACATGCMGTTTACTTTATSGGCAAAAATCGGGTGRAAACTTTCCATAGRCCTCATATAATATAAAAGCTTTTATACCGGAAGCTACTTCCCTGGAATTGGTCCTGCCAAGTTGYAAGGGTATGAAATTTTCGGCTACATTCGACCTTAGKYTTTCCTTACTTGTTTAAGTATCTTTCGAGTACATTCGAACAACTAATTGGTTTTAGATTTCACCCTCTTGCAAAAAGTGCTTATGAAAAGTGCTTCAAATACTAGAAAAATCTTTAGCATAAATGTGATACGTCTGGTGGGGATTACTTTGAAGGTGATCGGTGAATAATTTAATATTTTGCGTGTTCTTTACAATTTTCGGGTGCTTTTTTGTCCCAATGTATATGGCGTAATTGATTAATAGCATAGGCATAGGCCCTTGATTAAAATCGATCGAAATTATTCTCCATTTGTGTTTTGCTATTGGCGAAATTTGAAAGTCATCTTTTTTTTTTTTTTTTGACTGTTTTTTCTAATCACAATTATATGCCTTTTTCTCTCAATAAAACCTACACCGCTGGAGAGAATTCCAAAAATTTAAGCTTGGATATCAGACTTAATAACAACCAGATGATATTTGGTGTTCATATATTTTAYTGGGAGAATCCAATAGAACAAGAAAGTAAACTGAACAAGTAAAGCTCTGGCAATTGTATCGCAACATTTCCAAAATTACTTAAAAACTAAAAAATARAAACGCTTGATCTTAATTCTTAATTATTCACATCAGAATTCGTTTAACTTCGGAAAATTAAKTGACACGAGAACACAGCTGGTCAATGTGTTAAGAAGGCTTATTTGTCTAWATTTAAGAATAAGCAACAAATACGAAGTAAATAAAAGTAATATTCACCGGTTCTCTTTTGAATTTGCATAAACGGCAAACAGASCTATAAAGAAAAAAAAAAAAAACACGAGYAAAAAAACAACTGAGAATGTGGACTCAAACAGCAAAATAAATAAACCAGTTGGGCCAGGTCATTTTGATGTGTAAATATTTGTGCGTACATACATACTTATGTATATTCACTTTGATACACCTTTTCTGGACACATTTTTATGTGAGAAGTTAATATTCATTTACACAAACACTTTTGTGGATAAACACATAAGAATATCAATATTTATGAATTGATGGGCTCGACACTGCGGCATCGCGTTTGAGAGTACTAATTGATTAAAATATATAAATTCTAACCAAATTTAAATGAAGTTCACAAAGCCTTAATTCCTTAGCCAACTAACTTAGCGCGATCGCGTGTACTGCAGTGCTTGGCGAGAGGTCGAAGCTTCCACAGTCTCTTCTCGCACATTTCTTATCAATAATATTCTTTAAAACATATTTTGTTTTATTATATATTATAACTGTTCAAATAAAATCTTAACAATGTCTCTCTCCTGTTCTTCTTTACAAAACGACGCCGTGAAACGCGATTCGGCATTGAAGCCTATACTCTACTCGTATTGGCGTAGTTCCTGTTCGTGGCGAGTGCGCATCGCTCTCAACTTGAAGGAAATACCCTACGACATCAAACCAATCAGCCTAATCAAGTCGGGCGGCGAACAGCATTGCAATGAGTATCGTGAGGTCAATCCGATGGAGCAGGTGCCAGCGTTGCAAATCGGTATGGCTATACTTACTGTAGTATAAAATATTGTCTACAAAATATATTTTTTCTATTACTTGCAGATGGCCACACGCTGATCGAGTCAGTCGCTATTATGCACTACTTGGAAGAGACACGTCCCCAACGTCCACTGCTGCCACAGGACGTGCACAAGCGCGCTAAAGTGCGTGAAATTGTGGAAATCATCTGTTCGGGTATACAACCACTGCAGAATCTAATTGTGCTCATCCATGTCGGCGAGGAGAAGAAGAAGGAATGGGCACAGCATTGGATTACGCGCGGCTTCCGCGCTGTCGAAAAGGCGCTYTCCACCTCGGCTGGCAAATACTGTGTGGGCGATGAGATTTCCATGGCCGATTGCTGTTTGGTGCCACAGGTCTTCAATGCAAGAAGGTAAATGCGTAAGATCTAATGTCGTAGGATTAGAACAAAGTGGTTACATGGATTTCCTCGGGCGTTTTTTTTTT